ATTGTCACTCTCGAATGTCACGTTATAGCCGGACGTAATCCGTGTACACACTAAGCGGGTAATTTGAATTTGTTATATGCATTTTAATTGTTTGAATTTTATAGGGCGGGAACTGTTAGCTCCGGATAAATTTATTTGAGTAATATAGAAATTTTATTATTATTGCCCAATAAAATTATTGACGCATTTAAAAAGGAAAGTTTATATAAACTCTTGTACTTGTATGTGCCCTTACTTTTCGGCTGCGGGCACGCAACATTTATATTCAACCAATTTGGAATATGCCGTAGATATAATTCATGTATATTACCGGAATATTTGTTTTGAACATACTAGGTATCTGCACCTGCATATATACACAATATGTACATACCTGGCATGTTCATCTGCACATATACCCAATATGTACATACCTAGGATATACTTTTTATGAACTTTGATGAATATACATGCATGGATATTCCACGAACATTCATGTTAGGAATGTTCAACCATGTATATTCCCAGGATATTCCCGCAATGTTCTGTATATTTTTTGAACATTCTGGGAGATTCATAGAATATCAAATGCTATCTGGGTACTACATGGCTGCGAAAATGCGTGACATTTTTGTTCCAGGTTCTCCTGACTTTATCCAACGCCGCCATTGAGCGAAGATTATACGTTGTGGCTAATCTTCTAGAGAAGGCCAATGGTACCAACAACAACACTCTCTACTACAACACTAACGTGGTGTTTGCTGACAATGGCACTTTGGTGGCCAAGTAAGTGCAATTCGGCGTCCGCGTCAATGTTTTACTAAATCCATTGGTTTCCTTAGGTATCGAAAGATCAACCTAAATGAAGGCGAGTCGAGTTTAACGCCTGGGAATGCCACATCCATATTCGTCACTAGCTTTGGTACCTTTGCTCTAGTGACTGGAACGGACATATGGTTTTCTCATCCATCCCAGTCGGTGCTGGTGAACAACGGGGTGACTGACGTTATTTTCCCCACTGCTTGGAATTCGACGTTTCCTTTTCAAATGTGTAAGTACCGCCTTCTAAAGTACGGTTTCGGTGGTGCGATCAGCGATTGCGACTTGGTGCTAAGCATAGATAAAGACGAGTGGATCTGAGAGCAAAATAGTACTAGTAAATAGTACAGTTGCTCATCAGCTCTCGTCAGATGAACAACAGCTCTTCAAACGTTCCACTGTTTGACTGTTTTATTATTTGCTACAAGGTGTTTCACACTCGCGGTCCAACCTCGAGGTTGAAGCTTCACTGAGTGTGTGTTTTGCCCTCCCCCAGACTACCAAGAAAGAAATTCGAGCTCGTATCTCCCTCAGAGGCACGTTCAGGTCCCCCTTTTGGGCTCCGGAAAGCCCCTCAGTGCAGTGCCGTTCAGGATAGTGTTCCTGAGTGTATTTTGTGATCGCCTTTGCCAGCTCTTGAAATACCAGAAGCTTCTTCCTCCAGCGCAACTTCCAACCACAAAATGAGCTCTCGCGAGCGGACCCCTTCAGGGTCCGAAAGCGACGAGTCGAACGAATCACAAACTGATCAAGGTAAGCCTGCAAGACGCCCTGCCCAAAAACCACGCACCCTGCTTTCTTTTAAAGCCAAAACCAAGTCCTCAGCGAAATCGACGACAATCAAATTCCCCCTGACGCTCCTGCAATCCCCCCCGTAACTCTCTCAACGCCCTAATCGCCACCCTTAAAACCCGCACAAGTCCCGATCCCGACCAAATAACCAGCAAAATCCTCAAACGACTCCCGGAAAGTATCCTCAATCACATCCTCACCCTCATCAACGCGTCCTTTTCGCTACGGAAATTCCCAACCCCTTGGAAAACCGCCTCCGTAGTATTAATCCCCAAACCCACCAAAAACAAAACCTTTCCTCAAAACTGGAGACCCATCAGCCTCCTTCCCACTATTTCCAAACTAACAGAAAAACTATTTCTCGACCGCCTCCAAAAACTAATTTCAGAAAACCAATTAATCCCTCGAGAGCAGTGCGGATTCATGCAAAAACATGACTCCGTAATGCAAGCAGCCAGGCTAATTCAAGATGCCACGATTGCTTGCCAGAACAGATGCTCCACTGGAGTCGTCTGTCTGGACATAGAAAAAGCTTTCGATAAAGTATGGCAC